ATATGAAAAATGTTGTAAGTGTAGCATTACTCAATAACTAACATGGACATGTCAAACCTAACAAAGCCTAGATCATCATCATGTATCCAGCCATACTTCTCCATGAACGGATTGACTTGGTTTAGATCCCTAGGGTAACTATCTATGCAGTCTTTCCACACATTGACATCATCCAAGTCCTTCATCACTTCCCACACAATATTGTTGCACTTAAAACCAGCTCCAAATCCACTCATCAGAATCATGTTCCCCTTCTTAAGCCTCTTCTTTGCCTCCATGTATCCCAAAGCGTACCAAAATCCGGCCCCTGATGTGTTTCCGAACCGGTGAAGTGCCATTCTTGACGGCTCAACGTCATAATCACTTAGCCCTAAGCTCTTCCCAATCCCATCTATGATTGCTCTTCCACCAGGGTGAATACAGAAGTGCTCTATTCCTGTCTTGAGATTCAACCGTAGTCCCCCATCTGCTTTTGGCTTTTGGCTTATAATACTAGTTCTAATATTGTTAAGCCTAGAGGCCACCAGATACCTAAGTATTTCTCTTAGTGGAAGTATTTTTGGTGCTAGAACTTGGAGGTTCTTTGTAAAACCCTGAGTTGCAGCTTTTAGTAGGTTTTTGGTAAGGCGGAAACCTCGATTGCCACTCTCATCTTCTACCTGTATGCAACAGTTATATGCTTCATCGTTCGAGCCGGTGTGCATTCGTACCAAATGATTTAATTTCAGCTTGGCTTGGTGCTTTAGGCTTCGGTTGTTCGTGAGCAGCATCGCGCACCCTCCCGAGCGGAAGAGACAGTTTGTGAGCATCATGGATTTTTCTACGCCGCAATACCAATGAGGAGCCAACGATTCCGTGCTTACAACGATGGCATACGGCCTTGAGCCCAAAATTTGATGTGCATCATAAGCTACTAGTGACTGTTTTGCTATGATTTTTAACTTCAGGGTTCATGTTTCTTGCAGCAAATAATGACCGATGATGAAGATGAGTCATAGCTTAGGTATATTGCATCTTCTTCAGCAGGACAGTTCCCATGAAACTGATCTCCTTTATAGTCATTTTTACTCATAGTTTGAAACGAACATATATATGCTGGAAAAAAAAAAAAAACGAACACATGCAGCTAGGAAATCTCCTTCCTTTGGAATCCAATCAATTGAAAAATTCAATTTTTGGATAACATATGTAGTGTCATAGTTCACATATATTGATAACTTATTTGGAAGTGCTTTTAAAATAACTAAAATGTTTTTAAATCACTAAAAACATGTCAGACCATATTTGACAAAATAATTTGAAAATGTTTTTGTGATAAAAAAAAGCACTTGCATTTCTATTAAATATTTCATACCATAAGGGCTTTATAAGGAAGCATTTTCAAATGGGCTATAAGTCTTCAACACAATTCTTGTCAACTAATTTCGACTTAGGTTCGCAATCAAGGCCTGGTTTCATATAAGAATTGACAAAGGAACTTGCAAGCTCAGAGTTTTGGACTGGAGCTGATCTTTCAATGGGCAAAGAATTTTGGTGGGAATAGCTAAAAATAGACCAAAGGTTCTGTGGGATTTGAGCAAAAAAATTGGGAGTTAGCAAAGAAGTGGAAGCCGAACTATTTGTCCCACACCCGCCACAGGGGCAAAGAACTATCTACCTTCGCTCATATAAAATATTGTAGGCTGCGGAAGATTAACTTACGGAATCATGCGTTGAGCATAAAGCGAACTATTCTTTCGCCTTTTACTAAAGAATACCGTGTGCTCGTCGCTTTAAGTGGTATACACTTATTTTTTAAGGGAGCACCACTGTCGGTGCACCTAAATCTCAGTATTTAAATTGTAAAAGTTCAGCTTGTATTTTCTTTAGCTGTTACCCTTTAGGCCCGGGAACTAAACAGTTGTCTTGTTCTTGAAAATTTAGGGTAATCTCCACAGGTCATACAAGCCAAATATCACTTGTTAAAGTGAAGGAAATACGAGGTGTGCTGCTGCTGAGGTTGGAATATGTAGTGTTTTCTTATTTTTATTACAAGTGATATTCTGGGGGAAAGAAACCGGTAGTCAATGGCTTGCTTTGCTGTGGAGCTGGGTGTATACCACCACGTTAATGAACGCTGGCGGCATGCTTAACACATGCAAGTCGGACATGAAGTGGTGTTTCCAGTGGCGGTTTTCTCTAACTATTAGAGTAATGTACTACTTGTGGTAAATGTAGTACTAGCAAAGGGAATACAAATATATCAAAAAGAGAGTTTGCTAGCAAAGGAAATACTGATATAGATCTAGAAAATTAATGAACTCTTATTTTTATTAAAAAAAAAAAAAACCTGGAATACCTGATAGATCAGGGTTTATTTATGAGATACATCCAGACTACAGGGCTTGAAAAACTTCATACAAACTTCAAACAACCACACTTCTCCACAAGATAAAAGAAAAACGCAAACTTATTAAGTGCTGAAAAATCAAATAACTAATAAAAATGCTATTCTTACCGCATTTTTCATACCAAATATTTTACCATTTTTCTAAAAGATATGAAACCCACATGAGTTGGTGGGCCTACTTCTATTAGAGAAATGATATAAATGGAATATGAAAAATGTTATAAGTGTAGCATTACTCAATAGCGAATAGGGACATGTCAAACCTAACGAAGCCTAGATAATCATCATTGATCCAGCCATACTTCTCCATGAACGGATTGACTTGGTTTAGATCCCTAGGGTAACTATCTATGCAGTCTTTCCACACATTGACATCATCCAAGTCCTTCATCACTTCCCACACAATATTGTTGCACTTAAAACCAGCTCCAAATCCACTCATCAGAATCCTGTTCCCCTTCTTAAGCCTCTTCTTTGCCTCCATGTATCCCAAAGCGTACCAAAATCCAGCCGCCGATGTGTTTCCGAACCGGTGAAGCGCCATTCTTGACGGCTCAACGTCATAATCACTTAGCCCTAAGCTCTTCCCAATCCCATCTATGATTGCTCTTCCACCAGGGTGAACACAGAAGTGCTCTATTCCTGTCTTGAGATTCAACCCTAGTCCCCCAGCTGCTTTTGGCTTTTGGCTTGTAATACTAGTTCTAATATTGTTAAGCCTAGAGGCCACCAGATACCTAAGTATTTCTCTTAGTGGAAGCATTTTTGGTGCTAGAACTTGGAGGTTCTTTGTAAAACTCTGAGTTGCTGCTTTTACTAGGTATTTGGTAAGGCGGAAACCTCGATTTCCACTCTCATCTTCTACCTGTATGCAACAGTTATATGCTTCGTCGTTCGAGCCGGTGTGCATTCGTACCAAATGGTTTAATTTCAGCTTGGCTTGGTGCTTTAGGCTTCGGTTGTTCGTGAGCAGCATCGCGCACCCTCCCGAGCGGAAGAGACAGTTTGTGAGCATCATGGATTTTTCTACGCCGCAATACCAATGAGGAGCCAACGATTCCGTGCTTACAACGATGGCATTCGCATTCTTGTGAGACTTGAACAAGTTTTGTACAACGTCAATGGCAATGAGGCTCGCACTGCAGCCCATTCCCGAGAGGTTGAAGCTCTTGATGTCGTCCCTCATCTTGTAACGATTCACTATACGTGACGATAGGGAGGGTGCAGGGGAGAACATCGACACATTGACGACAAGAATGTCGATTTGCGACGGAGAAATTGAGGTAGCCCGAGCGAAAAGCTTGTCCAGCGCGTCAAAGATGATGCCATCCATCTCCACAAGTTCATCTTCTAGGGTTGCAGTTTCTTCTCGGCCTTGGATGATGTTTCTTGCGCAGTAAGTTTCCTCGCCAATGCCCGAATGGGTAATAGTTTTCAAGAGAAACCTGAATTCTTCCAGTGCCAAATTCCTGTTCCGCATGACGATTTTAACGCATGAATCAGTGCTGAGCTTCATGTCGTCTGGTGGCATGTGGCACTCGTAGGCCAGCAAATAGCATGCCTGGTCTCTCCTTCTGAGAAGTAACTTACAGAGGCAGGAGAAACCATAGAAAAGAGCCAGCAAACACGTTGCCATCAGGATCCCCATGTGAGAGAGAGAGAGAGAGAGAGAGAGAGAGAGAGAGTTTAGAATTGGGAAGTGTCAAATGATCTGTTGCATGTATGCAGCTTTCAACGATCTATTTCTCTTATAAATAGATGTTTAAAAAAGAGCTGGAGTATAATGTAGTAGGCCTCATTAAGCTGTATAGTTAGGTAGTAGTTCGGCCAACCACTAATAATAATTAGTAGGATAAGAAGGCATTGACATTTAGCACCTTTTATGCCTAGAGAAATTTTTCAGTGTGCCAGAACATGACTCGGGATACTAAATATTATAATATAAGTGTTTATTTATTTTTTATTTTTTTTTTAAGTATCCAACCATTTGTGTTATAACACTTAATATACCAAACCATGTTCCAACACTGAAAAATCTCTTATATACAAGTTGCCGTGTGTTAGCTTTCTCCACTCAAATATTGTGTGGACTAGTCTTTTTTTCATTGAATAAGGTATTTTTCTTATCATTTTTTTTAACAAATTAAGGGATTGAACAATGCATGGGAAATGTCTTATTCATGAAAACTTGGCTCGGGACTTACAATTTTAATCATGGAGCTAGGTCGTTTGTTCTCTCGGGTTTGATTGGAGATCACTCATTAGACTCTGTGTACGTTTTGCAAGAAATTTTTAAATTCTTGGGTTCAAAATGAGAATTGATTTAATGTTAATTTGGGGTGACAATTTCAGATACGTCACATTACACGACTTAAAACCTGCACATATATGAAACTCGTTGTATACACAGTTAAAATTGTTAAAATAATATTATATTTAGTGAAATGACGACTTTTCTCATACATTTTTTTATGAATGTATTGACACAATCTCTGAGTTTTGGACTTTGTGGTGGGCATAATTGCCGCATAAGTCCCACATCAACCAGAGGAGCCAGCTATCTAGTGGCACCAGTATAAATCAAGGCAGCATGTGACTAATTTAAGTACGGAGCTATGCATTGAGCACAAAGTGAATTATTCTTTCGCTTTTTACTAAAGAATAATGTATGCTCTTTGCTATAAGTGGCATAATTCTATTTTTGTAGGGGCGCATTTTTGTGGGTGCCTCTATCAATTCAAGTAGTAAGATTTAATTTTTTTACATTTGTTATAAGATATCCGAAAAGAGAATTGTTATTAGCACTTCAAATTTCTCATTCTACATTTTAAATTTGTTATATTTAGAAAGAAAAATACACTTGTGAGGAGTTGCGAATGAGATTTTTGGAGTGTCAATAACATTTCCCATCCGAAAATGGTATGATGAATTTGATGGTTTTATTAGGTTGGATTGAGGTAAAAGAAATATATGAACACTTGTACGAAAATTTGGTTATTAAAACTCAACAGGGAAATTGCCTTGACGGATAGGATATTCCTCAACTTACTAGCACTGCCATTAATGTTGAAACTCTCATGTAGCTTAGGATACTACAACAACAATAAAATCTTATCTCACTAAGTGAGATCGGCTGTATAAATCCTAGGACGCCACTGTACTTGATTTTGTGCCAAGACTTTCATTAGCTTCAAGTATTCTATGTCTTTTCTTCAAGCTTATTTCCAAGTACTAAGTTAGCTTAGAATACTAATAAATAAAAAAAACCAATATATGTGCATCCTTATTTGTTTTATAAACTAAATACTCTTCTAATATTCTAGTCCACGTTCTGTAATTGGTGACAATGAAATCCTTGATTCTTGATTTCTACGAAAAACAAATTGTTGTTATAATCAAGTGAACCATGCGGCTTTTTGCTAAATACGAAAAAGGAAATGGAAATAGCTAAACGATGTTTTGTTTTCATCCGCTTATCATTTCTCTACTAAAAGGAAATACCTTGGTCATACCACAATATAAAATAACGTTACGTTGCTATTTGTTTGCCATGTAAATTTGTATTGACAAACATATCAAAAGCACGTTGACAATTATGTAATTTTTATGTCAATAATATAAATATTATGGAGGACAGTGGCGAATCCAAGATTTTTCGGAGGAAGGGGCGAACTTAAAATAATGCAAGGTTAAAGAAAAATGGCAACAACTAAATCGTTTTATATAGTAATGTCTTCCATAATTAATCAATACAAACAAATTACAATTGTTGCCGGTGAGGTTTTATGTCATGAAATCGTCGCATAATAGGCTCATTATCAATAAAAGAAAATACATATTTCACAATGTAAACATCGATTGTCGCTAACCTTTCTTGGCATGATGAGGTCTCTAGGTTGACAAGGATCAATTTGAAGATAGTGTCTATGAATTGCTTCACTATAATTAGGTGGATAATCAAGCATTCGATGTCTATGTGCAGGGTCTGCAGGAAGATTAGCCAATATTTCATCAAACTCAGTGGCCTCACTTTGTTATGACCTACTTGGAATATTTGAAGGAGGACTTCTTGGAATATTTGAAGGAGGAGGAGGAGGACTACTCGGAATATTTAAAGGAGAAGGACTACCCAAAATGTTTGAAGGTGGATTTAAGCATTGTTTCTTATAGTATCGTTCCATCACGTAATTGTAAAATGGAAAGAAATAAAAATTCTTAGACTCTTAATCCTAAAGTAGACTATACTATAGTATGCATAATAACTAATCCAATCAACCAACAATTCAATTAATCAATACCAATAAACATACAAATTATTCAATAAATAAAAATTCAATTCAACTAATCATATTCATATGAATACAACTAATCAATTCAACTAATCATCAAGATTCAAGAATTCAAATTTTAATTTTCACCCTAAAAAATAATTTCATAATTTCATATCAATAATCATAGAAGATAACCATATTAGTGCATTACCATATGATTCTATACCAATTAAACGAAACTTGTATTAAATAATTAATTAGGGTTAGGGATTATACTGGTTGGCTTGGCTACTGGGGATTTTGGGGAGCAGCTTTGCTCTCTCTCTCTCTCTGTCTTGATTGGTGAACGGCACGGGACGGGAGGGATAGGAAGTAAAGGGGAACCCCGGGGGGGGGGGGGGGTGGGGGGCTTTATAATATTTTTTGTTTAATTCAAATATACAAAACGGTGCCGTTTTGTTTTAAAATTTTTAATTTTTTTACCAGACCCAAAACGACGTCGTTTTGGCCTGGATTTAAAAAAAAAAAAAAAAAAATTAACAACAATCTGCTGCTGCTGCGCGCAGCAGAACAGATTGCCCAGCAAAAATAGAGGAGAAGATGAACCAGGGTTTTCCGGCGAGGCGCAATGGGAGTGGCTAACCTAGCTCTCCAGTGGTGTTTCCTGGCGAGGGGAGTGACGGCCGCCACTCCTCGCCCTCACATGGCTTCGCCACTAATGGAGGACATGCATACTTGTTAATATTGAATGGTCAAACCAACTAGCTTTTGAGATGATTTTATAGTAAATTTGCTCTTAGGTCCATAATTCTTGGAAGATATGTAATCTCATAGTGGGCCTGTTTCGTCCCACGACCATACGGCCTTGAGCCCAAATTTTGATGTGCATCATAAGCTACTAGTGACTATTTTGCTGTGATTTTTAACTTCAGGGTTCATGTTTCTTGCAGCAAATAATGACCGATGATGAAGATGAACCATAGCTTAGGTATATTGCATCTTCTTCAGCAGGACAATTCCCATGAAACTGATATCCCTTATAGTCATTTTTACTTATACGTTAGAAATCTAACTAGACATCGATTATCAAATCTGTTGATGCACAAAACCAGCGAGGACTTTAGTACAACAGAAAGTGTCAAGTTTGTGACCTTCGCCAGATTGCTCCGGTCATTAATGTGGATAAGTATGTAAAGATATAGAGATAGGGAAGCAAACACAAGATGCACGTGGTTCAACTAGATTGGCTACGTCCACATAGTAGAGGAGTTCTTATTAATTGAGAAGGGTTTACACAAATACATAGGTTCAAGTTCTCATTTAGTGAGTTCTAGTGCATAGTTTAATACAAATGACATTAGGGATTATTGTGGGAGAATGATCCCCTTTTATAGAAGAGAGTTTCTAGTTTTGTTATGACATTGACACGTGTCGTACTATGATTGGCCTCTGATATCGACACGTGTTGCGCTGTGATTGGCCTCTGATATCGAAACGTGTCGCGTTGTGATTGGCCTCCTGGTTGGAGGGAAACTCTTGTGGGTCCTTGATGGTATACTGTTGACCGGTGCTCAATAGTTTTGAGATTGGTCAAGTATGGTACAAACAATGCTCCCTTAAGTTCCCGAGTGAGGGAAACTCCTCGGTTGGGGACTTACAAGATCCAAGCCATTGAGTAATCACAAAACTTCTAAGTTCTGAAGGGTGACATCATTTTCATTTGCCTTTGTCCCATAAGTAGATGTAGCCTCTTCTCTGGAAGTATTTTTCCTCCATCCAGGAATGGTATCTTTAGCTGATGTTGATGCACAAGGTAATGTATCATTTTCATTTGAAGCTTACTTGTAGTTTTAGGCTTTGTCAAGTGCGATATGAACCCTATAATACGGGTCTCCCAAGTCTCTGAGCGAGGAGATCTACCGAAAGAGGTTACAGACAAGGTAAGTAATCAGAGTTCCAAGCAATCAGCCTTAGATTGGAAGTTTGATCTCGGGTTCTAGCTTATTGTTCTCCTTCTCCTTGTCTTTCATTCAGTAACAGGGACAAAGAGAATGATAGGGAGAAGAGATGATATGAGATACTCTTATTTTCGAAGAAGTAACGGATGAATCGACGCGTGCTTTGTTGTACTTGTTGACTTTCCACAAGCTTATTCTTGAACTGGGCTGGAGGGTTTTCCAGTTTCCTCTAAAGTAGCGAGCAGACTCCAGAATTTGAGGGTTAAAACAAGTCCGTCAAATCTGGAGTATATTTGATCCTGATAATATGGATACTTCTGTTGTTGACAAAGTAATGGATGTTCTTCGGCGACGGTGCTAGCAAAAGGTTGTTGAAGCTTCTCGATCTCTTCAATTAAAGCAATGATGCTGAGCTTGGATTTGACTTAGACTCCTCCGTCTGGATTGTGCGATTTTACAGGAAGGGCATCGTGCTATAGTGATATGTTCCAGCTCATCGTTGAACCTTCTGCTTCAATCTTTTGTATAGCAGAAGTGGTGCATAACCTTTGCATTTAAATGGTCCTTCAAAGCTCTACTTCTCAGCGACTCATCCATGCTTGGCGACTTCAATGTAAAGAGCCAATATCATACCAACTATTCTAAGGTATTTGCCAAAGGAATTCGTGACCTTGACAACAATTGAAGATGAGTACTCGAGAGCAATGCTAGGCAATCAACCATGCAAAGGTTCCGGGCAATCAGTTCTGGATTGAAAGTTTGATTTCAGGTTCCGACTGATTGTTTCCTTTCTCCTTGTCTTGCATGTAAAAGCAAAGGCAAAGGAAAAGACAGGGGAAAAACATGATATGGGATACTCTTGCTTTTGACCCTGATGATATGAGATACTCTTGCTCTGGCGTGACTCGTTTGTGGAAGTATTATCCACCGGATGGGGGAAGGGATGCCTTTTTTATTCTTAAGCAAGCAATCTTGTTGGGGATCTGGTTCTCGAGATTCAGAGAGCAGTGCCTCTTCGATTTTTTAGCAAGCAATCTTGTGGGGAGTGCTTTCTCGGATGTGAGGAAAGGTTGGGCATTTTTGCAAGTCTACTTTGCCACGAAGCACAAGGGTTGACACACATACGGATTTTCCAGTTATCAAGCAGTGATGATGTTCCTTTACCTTTGTGGGTAATAGTAGGGTAGTTGGACCTTCAAATTTACGTGTCTTAACTTTTTCAGGGTTCTTTGGCAAAGTTATCCTTGGTATCCGAAGAACTGATGTCGCGTGTGAAGATTTAATAAATTTTACTCAGGAAAATCTGCTTCTCAAAATTCAGAGAGTGGTGCCTCTTCGATTTTTGAACAAACGGCCTTGTTGCCCTTTCTTTTATAAGGGCACCAATTGTGTTCAAAAAGTACGTTCAGAGAGTTAATGCTTGTAGGATTTCCTCCCTTATTTTCATACTTCAGGGATTTATTGGACCTATTTTTCCTTCATGATTTCTGAAAATGTCTGGCCCATCCGACCGTTGTTTTGACTTAAATGTTGGTGAAGAGGTGACTATGTCTTCTCAAGACAACATATGGCGCCCATCCTTTTTATCCCCTACTAGTCCTTTTACTGTTGAGGATTCTACGATGAAGAATGACATGACCGCTACGGTGGTAGCTAAGAATCTTCTCACTCCCAAAGATAACAGACTACTTTCCAGCTGGTCCAATGAGTTGGTTGTTAAGGATTCTCTGGCTTTCAGTGTTCAGTGTGCGGGTTCAGTGTCTAATATGGCTCAACGCCTATTTGCTCGAACCCGCCAAGTTGAATCATTGGAGACTGAAGTTATAAGTCTCAAACATGAGATTAGAGGGCTCAAGCACAAGAATAAACAGTTGCACAGGCTCGCATATAGCTATGCTACAAGTATGAAGAGAAAGCTTGACCAATTACAAGAATTCGAGGGTCAGATTTTAATTGATCATCAGAGGTTTGTGAGTTTGTTCGAAAGACATTTATTGCCTTCGTCCTCTAGGGCTATACCATGTACTGAAGCTCTAAATGATCAACTTCCAGTGCCTCATCTTTCTGGGGTTCTGCCCAGTACTGAGGCTCCAAGTGATCACCCTCTCGTGCCTCATATCTCTGGGGCTTTGCCGAGTGCTGAGACTTATCATAAGCAACCTTTGTGAAGGTCCCTTCTTGTTTGTTTGTTTTGATTCATGTGTATGCACATATTTGTAATTTATCGAATATATCAATAAATAAGATTTACTTCATTCAACGTGTTGTGTTAAATACACCAAGGCATCCTTCACTAAGTTCTTTAAATTTTTTTTTTGTTGAAGTTTGCATGTTGAAACTTCGTGGGTGGATCCTGTAGGTTGAAATAGTGCTCCCTTAATTTCCCGAATGAGGAAAACTTCTCAGTTAGGGACTTGAAAAATCCAAGTCACTGAGTAGTCGTGAAACTTTCGAGTACCGAGGTGTAGTAGTATATGGTAGGAGTCCCCCAAGTCTTTGGGCTAGGAGTTGACAAAGGAGGTGTCTTGTGAGTAGCCTAATTGTCAAAATAAGCACATGGCTCATCAATCTACAAATAAATAATTTGTTCAGTTATGTGGTAAGTCACATGTGGCATAGTTAAAGGCAATCACACGACACTAGGCAGCACGTTAAGGTTGCACAAATAAAATCCTAATTAAACATGTGTGATGTGACTAAGATTAGTGAAATTCGAGTTATGGATTTGGAAAGCATTCTTAGCATAATAATCTTAACATGATGAATGTAGGGATAATACACACATATATATACATGAATAAACTACACATATATATACTGCATAACCCTGTATTGTGTACCGTGCCCTAACATTCAAATAATGAAAATAAATGGTTTGATTAGAAGACATCATGTGTTGTGGCATAATCATGTGATAAAATCATTAATCAATATAAATGGTGTAGTGGGTGTAAAGAATGAAGAGGATTTCAGGCGAATGTGACCAGTAGTTGAACGTTACGATAATAGAAGTGTTATCCGAAAGTACCATGATGAGATGGATGAGTACCAACAAAGAGGTGAAACCTTCGTCCTTACAGTTGATGCTAGTAGTGAAGATGACTCTGATAATGAGGCTAGTGTCGGTGAGTAATCTCGGGAAAGTGAGGATGGTTCTTGAGATACCGAGGATGGTGGCGATGACGATGCAGTTGAAACGCAGAGTAATATTGTCAGGGGTTCGGCCTTAGATGAGGATGACTCATAGTGCCTTCTTTTTCTGCATGTATTCTGAATGTACTAGTTTGTTGTTTATGTGGCACGTGCCATGTTGTAAGCCTGAAGGTTGCTTATTTATGTATGTTTATGACTTTGTATTATGCACTTTGATGTTAATTGCCAAGTATTTGTACTATCATTGATGAATGTTTGGCTATGTTTGAATAAATCCCTTATTTGGATATAATTCATTACTTGGGTATGATTGAACGAATACCCCATGGAGCTGTTCGTTTATTTGTATAGTCTTGTTGACATATACTTAGACTTTATTTTATGTTGGAAGCATTCGTATTGAAGCTTCAAACCTGAGCGTTTCAGTGATACGGATGTAAGGGAGTTAGGACTAAGTTGTCTAAATCACCTCTTTATTGAATTGATGCCAAATAGCCTTTATTACATAGGATGCCGAATGGCTGTAGCTCAACACTTGTACAGTGTAAGTCTACTTGTAATAATACTTCAAGTGATCAGCGTTCCATGGATGGCCAATGGTCTTGCTATCAGAGCTTCTGAGCTTGTAAGAGCCAGGGCAACTGATGCCAATAACTTTAAACGATCCATCCAATTTGGGCTGAGCATACCTTCACTCGGGACTCTGTTGTAGAGTAGTATTTTCTTCAATACCCAGTCCCCCACTTTGAAAGAGCGGGGTTTAACCCTTGAGTCATAGAAGTTATAGATGCGCTGCTTGTAGGCAACATTCCTCAAGTAAGCCTGGTTTCTGTGTTCCTCGACTAGATCCAAGTTGAGGGTGAGTTGTTTGTCATTTTCACTTTGCATGTAGTTCTGGACTCGGAACGTTACTTGCTTAAGCTCAATTGGGACAACGGCCTATGTACCAAAGGCAAGTGAGAATGGAGTTTCTCCTATTGAAGTCCGATATAAAGTACAGTATGACCAAAAAACTTGGGGTACAAATTCTGGCCAACAGCCTTTAGCCTTATCCAAGCTGGTTTTCAAAGTGCGCTTGATTATTTTGTTGATGGCCTCGACTTGTCCATTAAATTGGGGATGAGCTGGGGAGGCAAAACATAAGTTGATGTTAAACTTAGAGCAGAACATCTTGAACTTCTTGTTGTCGAATTGTCGCCCATTGTCAGTGACTATCGTATTGGGAATGCCGAATTTGCAAAGGATGTTTTTCTTTACGAAATCTTCTATTTTTACCGTGTTAATGGTTGCCAATGGTTCTACTTCGGCCCACTTTGTGTAGTAGTCAACTGCAATGATTGCATAACGGACCTTGCCCTTCTCTGCAGGCATTGGGCCGATCAAATCAAGTCCCTATTAGGCGAAGGGCCAAGGGCTGATTATAGCAGTAAGAGGCTCAGAAGGGAATGATGAATATTTGCGTAGCGTTGACACTTATCACATGAGCGGGATATTTTGATGGCATCTTGGTAGAGTGTTGGCTAGTAATACCCTTGGCTAAAAACCTTGTGTACTAGGGATCGAGATCCAACATGATCTCCGCAGACTCCTTCATGTATTTCCCGACGGACAATTTTCGCTTCCGCATGTGTGAGGCACCGTAAGTATGGTAGGTTAAAACCTCGCTTGTAAAGTTGGTCATTAATGATCAAGTAGCGAGTAAACTTGTATCGAATCTGCTTAGCTTGGACTTTATCATTTGGGAAGGTGTTATGAACAAGGAATTTATAAATCGGGGTGATCCAATTATCCTCCTGTTGCAAGTTGCACACTTCTGCGACCATAGTGTTTGGTGCTGTCAACAATTCGACATGAATTTTTCTCCCAATCTTGTCTTCCATTATTGAGGCGAGGCGAGCCAAAGCATCAGCATGACTGTTTACCTCTCAAGGGACTTGGGTGATCTCGTAGTGGAAGTGCTTGAGCAAAAGCTGCATTTGCACAAAATACGCTGCCATAAAGTTATCCTTAGCGTCAAAGTTGTTCGTAACATGGTTAACCACCAATTGGGAGTCACTGAAGATATCAATTTGTTTAACTCTAAGGTGTTTAGCCAAACGTAAGCCTGCTAAAAGGGCCTCATACTCGGCCTCATTGTTTGATGCCTTGAATTTGAAGCGAAGAGCATACTCCATTACCACTTTGTCAGGGGTAGTCAGGACTAATCTTGCTCCACAACCTTGTTGGTTGGATGAGCCGGAGTCCATACTGAGAGTGTTGGTTCTACCTTCCAAGCTTTCAAGGGTAACGAAGCCACTGCCTCAGGTGCAGGAGAAATGTCAATAGGATAAGTGAATTCGGCAATGAAATCTGCAACTGTTTGGCCCTTCTCAGCTGGCTTTTGGTGGTAGGAAATGTCAAACTCACCCAGTACTATCGCCCATTTGATCATTCACCCCGAAGTGTTAGGACTCTGAAGTATTTCTCAAATAGGGTGATTGGTAAGCACGATGATGGAGTCTGCTTGGAAGTAGGGGCGAAGTTTCCGAGCAAACATGACTAATGCTATAGCTAATTTCTCAATGTTGAAGTATCGTGTATCCGCATCTTATAGAGCATTGCTAGCGTAGTAGACAGGTCGTTCGATACTACCATCCCTTCAAATGAGGACAGAACTAACTGCTGAAGCCGAGACAGACAAATAGACAATTAAGGTGTCACCAACTTCAGGTTTGAAGGGTAGAAGGGCTTTACTCATGTACTCTTTGAGGTTCTTAAATGTTTCGGCACATTCATCAGTCCACGTAATGTACTTCTTACTTCCCTTAAGTGCTTTGAAAAAAGGAGTGCATTTGTCTGTGGCCTTAGAGATGAACCTGGTCAAGGCTGCCACCTTGCCAGTAAGGCTCAGGATGTCTTTTGAAGTTACCGGTTCTTTCATGTCAATGATTGCTTTGATCTTCTCGGGGTTAGCTTCAATGCCTCGTTGGCTAATCATGAAGCCCAAGAATTTTCCAGAACCCACGCCGAAGGCGTATTTGTTGGGCTTTAACCTCATTTGATACTTCTTTAGGATAGAGAAGGTTTCAGACAGGTTAGTGATGTGTTGGTCAGCGTGTTTGCTTTTGACTAACATATCATCAACATAAACTTCCATGTTCTTCCCAATATGTTCAGCGAACATCGAGTTGACTAATCTCTGATAAGTCACCCCTGCATTCTTTAGGTCGAATAGCATGACTTTATAGCAATATAGTCATCTGTCAGTAGTGAATGCCGTGTGTTCTTGGTCCGAAAGGTTCATGAGGATTTGGTTGTACCCTGAGTAAGCATCCATGAAGCTCAAGAGTTCACACCCTGCTGTAGAGTCTATAAGTCTATCAATGAGAGAAAGGGGAAAGTTATCCTTCGGGCATCTTTTGCTTAAGTCGATGTAGTTAACACACATTCTCCACAAGATCTTTTGAAGTAAGAGACTTTCTTTGGTCGGATTTTTCTTAACAAGGACCACATTTGCTACCCACATTGGATAATTGACTTCACGGACGAAGCCTATGCTTTTGAGTTTTTCAATTTCTGCCTTTATTGCCTCGTATCGTTCAGCATCATAAGATCTTTGCTTCTGTCTCACCGGCTTGGTCTTGGGATCAATACTCAAATGATGATAAATGATATCAGGAGAGATGTCTGGCATGTCTTCGTATGACCAGGCGAAGACTTCAGTGTTCTTTTGCAAAAAAAAAAAAAATCAATGCCAACCGAAGGGGTGGTGACAAAGTGATGCCAATCTTCACTATGCGGTCCGGATAATCTTTTGTGATAGAGACTTTCTCCAACTCTTCAGCAGGTTGTGCTTGCTGGGTGAAAGAATCATCTCGAGGATCGTCGGGTTGACTGTTACCACCGTGAAGATCCAAGTTGGCTTTGTTCAAGCTGGTCTTTATAACTTGGTCATGTATAAAAAGTGTTTCTTTGGGCACAAGCAAGTGTTGTTGCTTGACTGAAGTGTTGTAACATGATCGTGCACTAAGTTGATATCCTTTGATGTAACCGTTGCCATAGAGGGTTGGAAATTTCATCAACAACATATGTGTGGATACCATGGCCTCGAGACCATTGATGTCTGTGCACCCAAAGATGACATTGTATGCTGTTAGGCAGTCAACCACCAGGAAGTTAGTGGTGATAGTGGATATGTAAGCGTTTGTACTGATGGTGAAGGGTAAATGCACGCTCCCTAAAAGTTGCACGACATCATCGGAATAGCTTATCAGAGGAGAAACTAAGTGATCAAGCATGTGTTCAGCTATATTAAATGCCCTGAAAGCTTCAGCAAACATGATATTGACCGAAGCCCCCGTGTCTACCAGGATTCATCGTACATCAAAGTTGGCTATGTGAGCCTCCACGATCAGTAGGTCGTTGTGAGGGTGGGTGATACCTCTTTCTTCCTAAGGGTAGAAACATATTAGGTCCCAGTTAGGCTTTTATTACTTGCCTTCCCTGATGTCTTCTAGGTGAAACACTTAGTGGCCAGGCCTCAAAGTTCGTTCACTGTTTTTCATGGCCCTGTTGGAAGATTCAGATACGGGTGTGCCGCCGCTTATGAAATATATCACATTCACTTAGCGTTGGTTTTGAGGGTGAATGAGGAATTGATCAATTTTTCCTTCACGTGCTAAAGCTTTAATATGATCATGGAGGGTGATACACTTCTCGCCATTATGGCCATTATATTCGTGGTAGCAGCAAAACACACTCTTGTTCTTCATGGACTTGTAATCATGCTGCCTCAGTTTTAGCTTTGGTATCAGGTGAGCTATACTGGGGTAAATGGTCGCGCATGTGGCGTTCAAAGGTGTATACTTCTCATACCTCGGGGTAGGGCATGTCTTAACACGTGTTTAGCCCACTGCGTTGACTGCCTGAGGGCGGGCATTATCATGGCGATACCCTTGGTTATCACGATAGTGCCCCTTACTCTTCTTACTAAAATAAGACTGGTGAGGATGGAAATCTTTCATCTTGCCCTGAGGTTGATATGTCTGTTATCTTGGCAAAGCATTAAGCAAGGCAGGAAGGGGCGTCACTGCCATTTGGAAGGTTGAGGTCTTCTCATTTAGTTAGATTTGGCTCCCACTCCCCACTTGCTGATAAGGGATGGCTGTGGGGGGTTTCCCTTGATATGTCTTTGCCTCGGCGGAGGTGTGGTTGTAAGCTTGTGCCATCACTTCAGAGTAAGTCTTCCAAGTGTTGGCATCGATCATGACCTTAAAGAAACAGTCACGTAGGCCTGTCGTGAAGGCCTTGAGGGCGGTCTTATCATCTGCCTCAGCATAGCGAGAATACTCGTAGCTGAAGCGTCCGGCATACTTTCGCAGTGACTCATTCAGCTTCTGTTGAATAGTGTACAAGTCATCTACAGAGTGCAAGCGATCGGTCTGGAAGATGTGTTGAGAGACAAACAGTTTCCTCAATTCTTCAAATAAGTCTATCGTCTCAGGTGAAAGACAACAATACCAGTTTAGAGCTCCACCAGAAAGGGTAAAGAGGAAGATGAGACATCGCTCTTCATTAGTATGCATCTGGTATACCATAGTGGACTCAAAGAGATTAAGGTGTTCAATCGGATCCTCCATTCCAGTGTAGAGTTGTAAGCCGAGTTTCTGTTTTGTCTTCACTTGAAGGAGGTGTTGAAGATCCTCCTTGTAAGAGGGCCAGGCCTTAGTTGGTTCCAGTCAGGTTTCTCAGCTTGACGTTTATCCTTTAACTTGTTTACTTCCTCAAAAAGTTGAAGGACAATGAGGTCCTGAGTGGAGTCTTGTACTATTAGAGTTTTCTTTTGTAAGTCTCCATTGCCACTTAAAAGTATGAAAGTTTGATCAAGAGCATGTGATTTTTCCTTGGACTCGCCGTATTGACTTCTTGAGCGAGTCTGTCGAAATACTTCCGAGTCTCATGTACCTTCATGTTCTTCTGGGACCTGTCGCTCATTCCTTAGATTGATAACTGGCCTGGGTCGTGGGAGGGGACCAAGTGTTTCAGAAACCCTTGGGTCATTGATCTTTAAGCTTATGTGGATGGGATTCTCTCGACGTTAACTCAGGAAGTCTCGACAGTCACGATAAACGACTTTCGATCCTTCCGTTCCCTCTGCAAGGAAATGCCTTCCTCCACTTCTCTTGCTTCGGGTCGAAGCAACTGGGTTGAGAGAAGTTTCACGTTGATCAACACATTGATGATTAGCTTGCTCCTCATTAAGAACAATTATGTTGAAGAACGGTGACCCTCTGTGTTGGAGGGCACCTTATTGATGGTTGACTTCCACGGGGGCGATGAGTTCGTGCGTTTGAGTATGTTTAGCCTCATGAAGCATCTCGAAGAGCTTCTCATACTATTCCTGGAGGACCTCATTCTTCATTGATATCCTGTTGTTCTGAGCCTCCATCTCTTCGACTTTAGCTTGAAGAGTAAATTTCTTTCGTTTCTTCTTTCGCTGCCTTACACTAAGCGCGAGGGGGTGTCGTTCTGTGTGTTGTGGCTTCCTTCGCTCCCCATGTTGGAGAGGAATGCCTGGTCAAAAGATAGTGTACGAATGGTAGAAATCAGCTTGACAAAGCTAAAGAGAGTAGGAATAAGTGTGTTTCCCACAAACGGCGCCAAATGTTGATGCACAAAATCAGCGAAGACTTTGGTACAACAGAAAGTGTCAAGTTTGTAACCTTCGCCAGATTGCTCTGGTCACTAATGTGGATAAGTATGTAAAGATATAAAGACAGGAAAGCAAACACAAGATGTATGTGGTTCACCCAGATTGGCTACGTCCACGAAGTAGAGGAGTTTGTATTAATTGTGAAGTGTTTACACAAATACATAAGTTCAAGCTCTCCTTTAGTGAGTTCTAGTGAATAGTTTAGTACAAATGACATTAGGCATTATTGTGGGAGAATGATCCCCTTTTATAGAAAAGAGTTTCTATTTTTGTTTTGACATTGACACGTGTCGTATTGTGATTGACCTCTAATATCGATACATATTGCGCTGTGATTGGCCTCTAATATCGACATGTGTCGAGTTGTGATTGGCCTCTTGGTTGGAGGGAAACTCTTGTGGCTCCTTGACGGTATACTGTTGATCGGTGTTCAGTAGTTTCGGGATTGGTCAAGTATGGTACAAACAAAATCAAATACCAGCTTGAAACGAACATATATATGTTGGAAAAAAGAACAAACACATATACTAGCTCTAGGAAATCTCCTTCCTTTGGAATCCAATCAATTGAAAAATTCAAATTTTGGATAACATATGTAGTGTCATATTTCACACATATTGATAACTTGTTTGGAAGTAATTTTAAAATAACTAAAATGTTTTTAAATCACTAAAAACGTTTCAGACCATTTTTGACAAAAATTTGAAAGTGTTTTTGTGATAAAAAAAACCACTTGCATTTCTATTAAATATTTCATACCATAAGTGCTTTACAAGGAAGCATTTTCAAATGGGCTATAAGTCTTCAACACAATTCTTGTCAACTAATTTCCACTTAGGTTCGCAATGAAGGCCTGATTTCATATAAGAAATGACAAAGGAACTTGCAAGCTCAGAGTTTTGGACTGGAGCTGATCTTTCAATGGCCAAAGAGTTTTGGTGGGAATAGCTAAAAATAGACCGAAGGTTCTGAGGGATTTGAGCAAAAAAATTGGGAGTTAGCAAAGGAGTGGAAGCCAAACTATTTGTCCCACACCCGCCACAGGGGCAAAGAATTATCTACCTTCGCTTATATAAAATATTGTAGGCTGCGGAAGACTAAAGTACGGAACCATGCATTGAGCACAAAATGAACTATTCTTTCGCCTTTTACTAAAGAATACCGTGTGCTCGTCACTTTAAATGGTATACGCCTATTTTTGAAGGACGCACCTCTGTGGGTGCACCTAAATCTCAGTATTTAAATTGTAAAACTTCAGCTTGTATTTTCTTTAGCTGTTACCCTTTATGCCCTGGAACTAAACAGTTGTCTTGTCCTTGAAAATTTAGAGTAATCTCCATAGGTCATACAAGCCAAATATTACTTGTTAAAGTGGAGGAAAACGAGGTGTGCTGCTGCTGAGGTTGGAATATGTAGTGTTTTCTTATTTTTATTACAAGTGATATTCTGGAGGAAAGAAACCGGTAGTCAATGGCTTGCTTTCCTGTGGAGCTGGGTGTATACCGCCACGTTAATGAACGCTGGCGGCATGCTTAACACATGCAAGTCGGACATGAAGTGGTGTTTCCAGTGTCGGTTTTCTCCAACTATGAGAGTAATGTACTACTTGTGGTAAATGTAGTACTAGCAAAGGGAATACAAATATATCAAAAAGAGAGTTTGCTAGCAAAGGAAATACTGATATAGATCATGGCCTCACACCTAGAAAATTAATGAACTCTTATTTTTATTTAAAAAAAAAAAAGAAAAAAAAAGAAAAAAAGCCCTGGAACACCTGATCGATCAGGGTTTATTTATGAGATACATCCATACTACAGGGCTTGAAATACTTCATACAAACTTCAAACAACCACACTTCTCCACAAGGTAAAAGAAAAACGCAAACTTATTAAGTGCTGAAAAATCAAACAACTAACAAAAATGCTATTCTTACCGCATTTTTCATACCAAATATTTTACCATTTTTCTAAAAGAGATGAGACCCATATGAGTTGGTGGGTCCTATTTCTATTAGAGAAATGATACAAATGTAATATGAAAAATGTTGTAAGTGTAGCATTACTCAATAACTAACAGGGACATGTCAAACCTAACAAAGCCTAGATCATCATCATGTATCCAGCCATACTTCTCCATGAACGGATTGACTTGGTTTAGATCCCTAGGGTAACTATCTATGCAGTCTTTCCACACATTGACATCATCCAAGTCCTTCATCACTTCCCACACAATATTGTTGCACTTAAAACCAGCTCCAAATCCACTCATCAGAATCATGTTCCCCTTCTTAAGCCTCTTCTTTGCCTCCATGTATCCCAAAGCGTACCAAAATCCGGCCCCCGATGTGTTTCCGAACCGGTGAAGTGCCATTCTTGACGGCTCAACGTCATAATCACTTAGCCCTAAGCTCTTCCCAATCCCATCTATGATTGCTCTTCCACCAGGGTGAATACAGAAGTGCTCTATTCCTGTCTTGAGATTCAACCGTAGTCCCCCATCTGCTTTTGGCTTTTGGCTTATAATACTAGTTCTAATATTGTTAAGCCTAGAGGCCACCACATACCTAAGTATTTCTCTTAGTGGAAGTATTTTTGGTGCTAGAACTTGGAGGTTCTTTGTAAAACCCTGAGTTGCTGCTTTTACTAGGTATTTGGTAAGGCGGAAACCTCGATTGCCACTCTCATCTTCTACCTGTATGCAACAGTTATATGCTTCGTCGTTCGAGCCGGTGTGCATTCGTACCAAATGATTTAATTTCAGCTTGGCTTGGTGCTTTAGGCTTCGGTTGTTCGTGAGCAGCATCGCGCACCCTCCCGAGCGGAAGAGACAGTTTGTGAGCATCATGGATTTTTCTACGCCGCAATACCAATGAGGAGCCAACGATTCCGTGCTTACAACGATGGCATTCGCATTCTTGTGTGACTTGAACAAGTTTTGTACAACGTCAATGGCAATGAGGCTCGCACTGCAGCCCATTCCCGAGAGGTTGAAGCTCTTGATGTCGTCCCTCATCTTGTAACGATTCACTATACGTGAAGATAGGGAGGGTGCAGGGGAGAACATCGACACATTGACGACAAGAATGTCGATTTGCGACGGAGAAATTGAGGTAGCCCGAGCGAAAAGCTTATCCAGTGCGTCAAAGATGATGCCATCCATCTCCGCAAGTTCATCTTCTCGGGTTGCAGTTTCTTCTCGGCCTTGGATGATGTTTCTTGCGCAGTAAGTTTCCTCGCCAATGCCCGAATGGGTAATAGTTTTCAAGAGAAACCTGAATTCTTCCAGTCCCAGATTCCTGTTCCGCGATACGATTTTCACGCATGAATCAGCGCTGAGCTTCATGTCGTCTGGTGGCATATGGCACTCGTAGGCCAGCAGATAGCATGCCTGGTCTCTCCTTCTGAGAAGTAACTTGCAGAGGCAGGAGAAACCATAGAAAAGAGCCAGCAAACACGTTGCCATCAAGATCCCCATGAGAGAGAGAGAGAGAGAGAGAGAGAGAGAGAGAGAGAGAGAGTTTAGAATTGGGAAGTGTCAAATGATCAGTTGCATGTATGCAGCTTTAACGATATCTTTCTCTTATAAATAGATGTTTAAGAGAGCTGGAGTATAATATAGTAGGCCTCATTAAGATGTATAGTTAGGTAGCAGTTTGGCCAACCACTAATAATAATTACCGAACCCTGTTCCGGCACTGAAAAATGTCTCATATACAAGTTGTCGTGTGGAAGCTTTCTCCACTCGAATATTGTGTGGACTAGTCGTCTTTTTTTCATTGAACAAGGTATTTTTCTTATCATTTTTTTTTAACAAATTAAGGGATTGAACAATGCATGGGATATGTCTTCTTCATGAAAACTTGGCTCGGGACTTGCAATTTTAATCATGGAGCTATGTCGTACTTTTGACAAAAAAAAAATGAAAATGAAAACTTAAATAAAATTAAGTAGTTGCATATAAGTTTTTTTTTTTTTTTTAATTTTATCATTATTAAGGTGAAGGGAAGAGTTCCAAATTATAATAGTAATTAATAGGAGACGAGAATTTTGAACCTGAGAGATATGAATTGAAACTCAACACTATCAAATTGAGATATTGTGCCACATGCAAATTTGTCGACACCGAATCGGAAAAGTTGGGAATTGTCTCTCAATATAAAGGGGTAACATAGAGAGTATATCTGAAAATCGGCTGAGGCTTTGTTTGGTACTAAAGTAGGAGCTGAACCTGGAAGTACAGTATGATTCTCATAAGTCTACAACAATATCAAATGGAGGTCCAAGTTTTTGTATGTTGACTGCTGGATTGGACTGAACCTATTAGTCATAAAAAAGTGCGGTAACGCTCGGCGTCCCACACCGACAGCAACAGCAGCTCTAGCCAGTGTAGCTAGTATACAACCAACGCAGCGTGCCTCTTCCAAACTCACAGAGCCATGCGTTGAGAACAAAGCGAACTATTCTTTCGCCTTTTACTAAAGAATACCGTGTGCTCATTGTTTTAAGTGGTATACGTTTATTTTTGGAGGGGTGTACCTCTGTGGATGCCCCTTACAATTTTAGTTTGAAATCATTATTTTTGTGACTTTAAAAGTCAATCAAAGCTGCCATTGCATCATCTTTTCTTTGCCGCTGCAAAGTCAACGAGTTTCATAATTTTAAGCGGCAACGCTCTTTAGGCCCAATTTGTCATTATATTCACATGCGGCTGTATTTTGCCCAATATGTCATAATTTTAACCAGCGAAGCTCTTTCGGCCGTATTTTGGCCCAATATGTCATTACTTTTGGCCCAATGTGTCATAATTTTTACCACCGAAGCTCTTTCAGCCTAATGTGTAGTCTAGCATGGGTCTAAAAATAAAAAATAAATAAATAAATTGCATCATCCATTGACCGATAAATGTTTGTCTTGTTGCACTAAAAAGTGGCATGAGAGTACTACTTTTTTGGGAATTGAGGATCTTCGTTGGAGGATTTTGAAGATTCTCAAATTACATTAATTTATCGTATATTATGCGGTCAGAAATCATTGTAAACTTTTTTATTTAAAATTAAATATAAATATTATCTGACAAAAACTAACCGTACGATGTAGGAGATCCACAGTATTCTCACAAATAGGATCCAGCGACGATGCTCTCTCTCTTTTTGGTGCCTTTAAAATTGTAGTATATATTCTTTTTATTCGATACTCCTAAATAATAATGTATGAGTATTTTGAATAGAGAGAAGCAAATCTGAAATGTAAAGAAACTTTTTACATTTTCCTAAGACGTATAAGTACACCAACTGGAGATGTAAACTCGGGATCCATTTAATTTTATCTTTTTGTTTGGAGGGGCTCACATCCAAAGATTAAAAATAAATGCGAAACTGCAACTTTGTTTATATTTTCCGGTCAAGATGAAATTTTATACATAGAACTATCTGGCTAACCTTAAATGTAAAATTTTCATTGTAAAGGATTTTGCGTCTCTCAGTAGAGATGCCCTAAAATGCATAGTGCCATGTGTGGCTAAGGTTAAAATTTGTTGATTGCCACTTCGTACTACGGTTTAGTAGTATTTCTCTTCAAGTGAGAGATTTTAGATTCGATTGTCGCCAAAAGCGAATTTGAACCACATTATTGCTAGCTCATTGTGAGGCTTAGCCCACTCTCCCATCCCTTAGTGTGGATAAGATCGTTTGTTAAAAAAAAAAAAATTTAAATCCCGTTAACTTTGATTGGCTCAGATGATATCCCTAGAAAGAATCAGTCACATAAATTACGTAAGTTGAAGAATAAATCATATAAGTTGAGGAAATTTTTTACTTTCGTAGATTGAAAAAAATAAATTATAGTCCCAAAAAGCTAAGAAAAGTTATAAACTAAATTCCGATGAGAGATATTGTAAGACACATAAAATTGAGAGAAATTGTAACAAGAAATAACCCAAGCATATTATGTAACTTTCCACACTATCGCTTGTATAAAAACAAAAATTTAATGCGACTTCATGTGTCGTAAAATTTTTGTACGAACATGTTATGGATTAAAAACAAAAAAAAATGTAAAAGCAATGAGCCACTATATGATTAACAAGGAGAACTGAGATCTGAAATTGATGACACCTACTAGTAGAACACACAGTTTGTGAACATCGGGGAATGACACTGTTCTCATAAGAAGCCAAAGGCTAATTTCATATAAGGTAAGACATTGACAAAGGTAACTACCAAGCTCA